GATATATGTTCACATTAATTATTCTTAATCTAGGTAAATCTCGGGATTATCACTAATTCTTGGGTATAAACACAGTCACTCTAGGTCACTAAGGCCTTATTCAAGTCATTCCAAGCTATCTCATCCAGGGTGGACTGTAGTTTCAACCACACCTAGGCCTTTATCAAATAGCCTTTTATAAAATAAAGCCACATTATGCCCACTCATTTGAGTGGGAGAAAATTAAACTCACCCTAAGTGGCTTAGGGTGGCTATGTTTTTAGCTAAGAATTAGTGATTGCCTCGAAATCTTATCATATTGAGAATAAGTAACATCATCGATTGCAATAGTAAATATATGTTTGCTCAATTGACAATCCTAGTATTAAAAAGTGAGTTTGGGGAAGCCTGCCTTGCATTGAATGCCGCATTTGTCCTGTGACTTACTGGAATCTTTGACCGTGTAGTGGAGTGGAGTAGCAGCGCCACCACGATACTCGTCTCAAGGTATCAACTCCCACTAGAGGTAGTGATGAGGCCAATTAAGGTGAGATCGAAACGGCAATGCAGCGCTGATGATATCATCTTTTTGTAGGCCAGAGCAAAGTAAAAGTAAATGCCAGCATTTGGCCCACTCGTCTTATTGCAATAAAACTCAACTATCTTTCCTTAAATCTCCGTAAGTGGCCTTAAGTGTTACTGATAGTGATTAATTAGTCTCGAAATCTACTTATATCGAAACTAAGCATTGTTTATACCCAGTATTGTTAAAGCCTAGCATGAACCACTTTGCTTTTCCTCAATCAGCAGCCAGATGCAAATATCCAAAGCGCTGTCCGATTCGCGGCTTTCCAACCAAATCTCCTATCTACAGAACGAGTTAGTTCCCCAGCTCTACGAGGATCTCAGCCCTCCTCCTCCTCCTCCTCCTCTGCCCACCGACCCACCGATTACAGTTGTCCCTGATTTTAGTGATCCACGTCAGGTCCGCCATTTGACGGTGCTTTTGCAGAGCCGAGCAGATAACTTGCAGGGCTGGTTGGCCGGTGCTACATCACTTGGCGAGATGGGAATCCAGCCTGCAAATGAAATCGGGACTAAGGCCACCGTCAGCAAGTTCCAAAATCTGAATGATCGTGAAAGCTTAGCCTTACTAACCAGTGACCAGCTGTCCGGCCCCTCGACAGCAAGACCCGCTTGGAATCAAGTCAAAAATATACCCCGAAAAGTCAGCTTGGGAGTCAATAGGCCTAACTATCCATTTTCGAATGGTAGGCAAGTGGAGGAAAGTACTGCGTGGCCGAGGGCCGAGCACACTCAGAAGGTTCTTCCTCTCACGTACAGGGCACCAGTGGCCCCGGGAATCCCGATTGATGCTGGTGATCTTACCATCGCATCCAATGAGAATGCTGAATGGCGACATGGGGAGGGACGTCGATCGGCATTTAGAGCAGTACTTAGTAATGCTAGTCTGCGAAATGCGCCACGTCTTGGCTCTACAGCATTTCGAAACATCGTAAGTAGACCATTTTTCGTCTTAATCAACTGATAAAAATAGCGAAATAATAATACTATTCAAATAATTCTAGTGGATACTATTATTTGAATAATACTTAACATATTGCATATACCAATTATGGAAGTGTACGACGGAGAGAAGTATTCGTAAGAATCGTTTAGGTTACACTAAGTTATTCTAGCCAAAAAAACCTCGCTGTGTGTTTGAGAGAGTATTGTTAGTTTAGAGGAAGTTGGAGCAATCCTACTTGTCAGTTGCAAGCACTTGTCAGTTGTAATGAATTTTGCATGTCTTTAGACTACCGAAATGGCGAATGAGGTAAGCAAAATGACTTTGCTGATATCTGCGTTTGCCGGGAATCCTTCGTCACCCGAGGAGCGACCATTCCGGAAGAAGAATTACCTTAAAATAAGGAAACTACATGGTTTATACTAGATTGAAAAAAAGCGAATCACTGTAAAAAAGTGGAATGTTATTCCAAGACTTTGTTGGGGCATTTTTATGTATAACTCATCATCAATTATAGTTAATTGGCCAAAATCTCTTTGCTTTCATGTACTGCTATGCAAGCGAGACTAAAATACCGCCAAATCAGTTATGAAGTACGACTATCTCTATTTGTTATGGGAGCTTTACCTAGCTTAAAGCGGCAGGATGCTTAAAGCAAACTGACTAATAAGCAGACTGAAAGATCGATGTCAAATATTTTTATACTGAAAACTGCAGTTTGTTTAATATCATACAATTATTTGTGAGACAGAATAACTAATGAGGCGCATTAAAAGTTTGTCTTTTTAGACTTTGTTATCTACTTTGCAAATTGACTCTTCCTGCTTAAAAAGCCTCATTTTGGTAGTTAATTCACTAGCTGACCTTCCCATGGTGTGATAAGGTGTTAGAAGCTAGTTACTTGTATGAGTCATGATTAATTTCCCCCAAAATATGGCAATTATCTTTCAAGCAGTTTTTTTCTTATCGAGCTTAGATACGATAAGTAAGATTAGACTAGAGCAGTAAAATGTTTATTATTAGTATTCCAGGCAAAAATGCATGGTTGTTTCTCTACATTATCAAAGATTCTCCTCACATAGCAACACCTGGTTCAATTTTATTCTGGAACATGTAGAATCGGCAAAAAACAGTGGTTTGAGTAGCACACCTTACAGAGGCTTTACTCCAATCTCTAATTCTATCACCGCAGTTAATAGTATTGCTCATT